CGTCCGTGGGTGCTTGTTTACATGCCAAACACCTACGCATGCGAATGGGAGCAACATATATTCCCATGCCAAATGGCTACCCGAAAGCTCACCCGGACCGCTGACCCGGTCACCCGAAGTTCGATCTGTGCTCCTCGTTCGGGAGCAGACGTGTTGTCGCGCTCGAGACGACATGGCGATGGCTTTTACACGAGTGTAACAAGAACACATTTTCCCAGTGACCACTTTGCAGTTTCGTGTTGCTTTCTGTATGTCCATACTCGTTGGAGGAGTCGACAATTTGTGGAGGAAATATCCTTCTGGCGCTCAGCGTGCTAATTTACAGGAACCGAAGCTCAGGAGAATCAGCTAGCGAAACCCCGTGAAGTCCCCAAGAGAAGCAGTCAATTGGATCTAGAGGTGCCGTATTCATCCGCGCAAAGTAAGCAAAGTAAGCCGCTGAGGACTGCGCACGAGCGTCAATACGAGAACAGTCGTTGTGGAATGCGAAATGGCAACGACTTAAGATATTCACGATCCAGCCAGCTCTTGATTTCCTAGACAAAGAAGGCTTACAACACGGACGACTATTCAAAAGGATGGGGAACAAAGACTTGCATCGAGAGCGCCGGAATGAGATTGCGTTGATTGAACGGTCGACTGAGCAATTAGTTCGTCGATCTTTCGAGGGACAAGTCAACGGATTCGAAAGTAGATAGAGCACACCAAGAGGATATTCATTGAACCAATCGACTCCGAGAAGACTGGAGTCGAGCCACAACTGAGGGGAAGAAATTGACGATCGCAGCACTTGTTACGTTGGTTCGGTTCGACTGTATACGTTGAGGCATGGGTGATTTGTATTTCGTCGTGGAGTGCTGAGGATCCGCATGCAGGCAAGCAACAGGAGGGATCAACTCGCCAATGGAGTAGGGCTCTGGTTGGCCGCAGCATAACATGCGAGGCCAGAAAAAGCAGGACTGTGAATAAGGCTAGCCCCACGCCAATCCGGCACAAGATAGGGAGTAACGGAATATGCGCCTTTCAACTGCCTTGCCAGCCGCAGGAGCCGGATGGATGAACGATCCAGTGATTCGTCAAGTGATGCCAGATCCGCTCACAAAAGGATGAAAGTCCGGCGATTCGCGTTGGGTTTCGGGGAGAATGTGATGAGCAAGACAAGCCGCAAGGTCGTACTTCAATTGAATCGCGATAAAACCTGTGAGGCGCGATTCAAGACCTGCCCTAGGAAACTTGAAGAAAGGAGCAACCGATGAGCGCCGAGCCTTCAGATCATTCACTGGATACCATTGCAACAAGAAGAACCGCGTCAAACAATCCGTTCGTCTGTAATATGATACTCACTCCAAATGCCAGACCAACACGCACGACTGCTCCATTCCGCCGCCTTTGGCTTCGTCGACCTTCAATTCGGCTGTGAGAAAGGGGAAAAATACGGTGAGTATCTCGGAATTATGAGAGGATCCAGAGATAGATAGTGAGAAATGGGGGATGAAGGGGGACGAGAGGGGAGGGATGAACATATGGGAGCAAAAGGGACATTGACGAAGACGTGGGTATTGAAAGGGAGGCGAGGTTAAAAAGAACGCAAGGGAACGGAGAAAAATGAGAAAGGGAATGCGCGATGTACGAGCGGGCGATGATGAAGAACGAACAGGGGAGATGCGAAACGCCAGCGAGCGACGCAAAGAGGAACGAGATAGGAGCAAGAACAAAGTAAAAGGCACTCACTCCTCAGCGACTCATGCTCCACAAAGCCATACTTCTGCCACAGCTTCACGCTCCCGAGATTCGAGAGGAAACACTGTGCGCGCAGCTCGGTGCAGCCCATCTGCTTGACGGCCCATTGCGGGAGAACAACGCCGATGACGGCGGAACCGAGGCCTTTGTTGTGCCATTCGGCGCGGAAGGCAGCTGTAAACAACGTTATTTGAGTCGTGACTCTGCTAGACGGAAGATTGAGGAAAGAAAGAGAATGGAACGCACCACCGATCTCAAACACCTTGGTGCGCGTGCGCCACTCCTCCCACGCGTCGTTCACGGGCGTGAGCCGCTTCTCGCGGTCGCCCGAGTACATGAGGGTGACCTGCCCCACATACTCCTCGCCCCCGCCGGGGAGACGCTCGCGCAGGACGGTGAACGGGTAGTACGCCGCGGGGAGGAACGTCCCGGCGGCGTAGGCGTCGAAGAGCGCTGTGGTGTCGCGCCGCTCGCGGACGAGCCAGCGCTGGGACCCTATGGGTGCGACGGGGAAGGGCGGCCCGACCAGCGTGCGCGCGACGCGGATGTCGCTCTGCCGGGAGCATCGTAAGTTTCTCAAAGGACAGAAAAATAGAGAGAACGCACCAGCATAGCGATATCGGCGGGGATATCGGAGACGCGCTCGGGGCTCAGGTAGAAACGGTCGGCGCGACACCACAGCGCTGGGACCCTATGGGTGCGACGGGGAAGGGCGGCCCGACCAGCGTGCGCGCGACGCGGATGTCGCTCTGCCGGGAGCATCGTAAGTTTCTCAAAGGACAGAAAAATAGAGAGAACGCACCAGCATAGCGATATCGGCGGGGATATCGGAGACGCGCTCGGGGCTCAGGTAGAAACGGTCGTGCGGCGCGGGCAGCGCCAGGTACGGTTCACCCGCAGGACTGAATAAAATGGGGGTGTGTGCTGAGATTTCGGCGCGTAACTCGGCAGATTCGACGGTGAACAAGTCAGCCAGGCCCTTCGTTGGGTCTTCGGGTACAGAGGGCGTTTGAGTGGGTGTAGGGGCCGACATGATTGACTGAGATGAACAGATCTGAACCGGAGGTCTTATACAAAGGTTCGGGGCCGCGTAATCGTCGAGTCACCCACGAAGCGAGCATTGGATTCAGAGTCAGGAAATACGACCGGGTTGGCTAGCGCCGTGTTCTCTTGGCTACAGACAGAATCAGATATCTTGCGAATCATCATATGTGCGACAAACCGCTCGTTGGACGCTCCACCCCGTCCTGCCCGGCGCGTAAGATAATCATCAGTGCGAAGCGGCTGGACTGTGTACGATCCATGGCCATTGGTGTGATGCACTCATCCTCTGAGGAGGACGATGGCCATGGCACGACGTCTTGACCTCGTTCAGCACGGACGATAGTGGGGGACGAAAGCAAAGTTAAAACCAATTCCGGAATCATGTGATCGGACATCAAGTTTCCGGAGACTTGCCTGACGCCTGAGTCTTGGATCCCGTTTCAATCGATTTACACATGGCGGCCATACTTGCGGCGCAAACTGAGATGTCAAGAATTTGGCAGGGACAAAGGAGGGAAAAATGGGTGAAAGTTGTGGGAGCGAAAAATGAAGAAGTCAGATAGCACCTAACAGTGGAGGAAAAAGCTGCCCGCTAGCCGAGTCGAACGACTGACCTCATCATGGACTCAGGGATACGAGTGATGCGCTCTACCAACTGAGCTAAGAGGGCGAGATATCACGACGGGCACCACAGCCCGGGACAGGAAGGATAGCCAAGCAAAAAAGGTGTTATTGCTGGACCTTTAGGTTTGGCTACCCAGGGGAACTTGGATTTGGGCCACATTTCGTCCACATGTACAAACAAGATTTAGTCATGCACCATCAGTCAGAACAAGAACAAAAAGAAAGCAGAACGAAACAGAGCAAAGTAGTAACTGAGAATTTGTAACTACAATTTTGAATACTTGCTGTTGCTGATTGTAACTGTACAGGCACGCTTTATCCAGGGCAGACGCGCCAATTCTTCAAGTTCGATTTTGCACATCAGTCATTTCAGCTTTGTGTTTCGGTTAGCTATCCGTGATGTGTCATTTGGGCTTAAGACGCTCGGCATCCCGGGAGGCGGTGATTACCGGTCAAAGTGTGTTCGAAAGTTGATATCATCACCCCATGAACTAAGTACTTACGCAGTGAGTCGTAAGCACACCAAAAAATGTGAAATTTTGGCCCAGATGAACACCCCGCTGAAAGCAAAGGTTTCCGGCCCCAAGCTCAAAACGTTGCGGGAAACATCAGTTTCGACCGCAGTTTCGGCCGGAATGCGCCGAAACAATAAGTTTCGGGCCGGCCGAACACGCAAATCAGGCTGAAACAGCAGCCGAATCCAATGGTTCCGCTTGCGTGTTCGGTTTGCACCCTAAACCAGTGTTTTCGACTGGGTGTTCACCTGAGCTGAAATTTCCCTTTTTTTGGTATGAAGTATACAGCTTCGGTAGCTTCTACTCCTTTGCCTTCCGGCTGTGAGATAATCCCTCTCCTCCAATAATAGACTTCAAAGAGTAAGTACTTCAAAGCGATTGAAAAGTGATCCACTCTGAATCGTGATGTCATATGTTCTGATCATTTGGAACATAGAGGTTCAATTGAGCCTCAAGCCTGGGGTGTTTGTGCACAAGAATGTCGATGTGTTTCTGCTTTTTCTCTCCCACCTGACAAAATAGTCGCGGTAAAGATGCTGTGTATATGTATCATGCAAGCCATTTCTATCCAGGAACCATCGTTGCTCGACTCGGATCTGGGATTAAGAGGGTACAAAGAATACCATCCTGACACGGACACGGACATACCAATTGATAGTTTCAATGAGCCAATCTTTGGCTTTACCTCCACGCTCATCATCTCCGGGATGCGCGATGTGTACATGTATGAGAAAGGTTACTGCGTGGATCAAGGGCAGCACAGAATAACCTAAAGGTTCAGCACCCGCCTTGAAGAGGCCTAATCCACGTCATGGTTATGATCAAGTTCAACCCAACTGAGCTTGCCAAAGCAAATGTGTAGCTCAAATGTGTAGCTCTAATCCTTCATTTTCCTCGGTACTGATTGAACTTGTCTTTGTTATTTGCATCGGTAGCCAGCTTGATTTCGGGGACTTGAAGCCAGACGGGGGAAAAAAATGCGGAGAAAACGGACCCCATGACGGCATGATGAGGATTTGGTCAGAACAGTCGTATGGAGATTGAGAATGTTACCCGGAGACACCTCCAAAAACAGGATTCCCGCTAGCCGATTTGAACGACTGACCTCGTCATTATCTTCGATTGCGAACACCCATACTAGTGACACACTCTACCAACTGAGCTAAGAGGGAGGACAGCAACCCACAACCCTGTAACGATACAGCCGCCCATGCCTTACATCTCCCGCGCCGCTGGTTAGTCGATTAAAATTTCCGAGAATGCGTATAATGTTATACAGTGACAGAATATTAACAACGGGTGTGGCGATCTGAACCCAGAACTTGTGGCAACACGGGAATTCCAGAACCGTTGTAATCTCATGAAAGTTAGTAGTGGGTGTGGCCCGACGCGACCAGTTGAAGCACTCAAGGCTTCTAAATTCTTTGAAGCGCTATTGTTGTCAATGAATTGAGACAGCCAACACCGTAGCTTCACCGTGCTTTTCCGAAAGTCAATCAGCACACATACATCTCCCATCTAAATTATTCTGGTTGAATGAACTTGAATCACACAAAGGCGCCGGCTGCCGGAACCGCATCAATTTCACACACCGCAGCTGACGTGTCCACTGTCGCGCTGGCCCTTGTAACTTGGCTCCACCGCAGTTCTCGTGCGGCATGGACCCCCACGTTCCATCTCCAAATCCGAATGAATACTCTGGCTGGGACACCGAACCTAGGCTTCCACCAGAGCTAGAATGCGCTATCTTCGAATTAGCCGCGCTCTCGCGTCCGAGCATTATTCCGACACTTGTGCGTATCGCTCGCAGAGTTAAGCAATGGTACGCATTCCTTTTTCCTTTTTTTTGGCCGTGAATGAGGGCGTACTGAGCCATCATCTTCAGGGTGGAGCCCATCTTGTATCGGGTTGTAGTGCTGCCTGGCTCGCGTCCCCAGCGCCAAATGGATGGCTTCCCTCCAATTCCGCTCGATATCTTGCTTGCAATCATAGCAAAACGACCCTCTTTCGTTGCGTCTGCAGTGAAACACATTTTCCTCCAAAACGGCAGACGACCGCTACTGCGGGCGAAGCTGGAAATTATCCTCGCGTCCTGCTCCTCTATTTCCAGTCTGTTTGTGCACTGTAGCGTCCCCGCCGAATCGTTACCGTCTCTTGACAAACTTGAAACCCTCCACCGTCTGGCTGCGGACCTAGACTTTCCTTTCAGTCCCAGCCCAATCAATTTCGACCAACCGTTCCTGCGTAATGTCACGCATCTCGAACTCCTAGGGAGCTACAATGACTCCGATTTGCCTGCCGATCTCGGTATTGGGCTTTCCCTCCTACCACATCTCACACACGCTGCGTTCAACGCCGTTGCAGAGGCTGTCCCCGGGTTGCACGCGATCGTCAGAACGAACACACACCTTCAATGCATCGTGTTTTTCACCGAGGAGGGTGTGAAGCCCGACTTGGAAGACGAGCGATTTGTGGGTATTGGGCAAACTGATTTCCGCTTGGACTGGATTCGCGGTGCGACCGGCGGGAACGATTACTGGGTACTTGCAGAGACCTTCATTGCCGCGAAGCGTGCCGGTCGGATCTCTCGTGCTTGTCATTTTTTGTCGTCGTTGATTCCCGCTCACGCGTGTTCACAGGTTCGTTGTATTGGATTTTGGATAAAAACAACTTCAGGATTCGGGAAGGCGTAGCCAATCTGGTCTCTTAGTATCGTTGTTCGGACGTACGGGGGAAAACTTGAGAACCCGCTTTGACTGAAGATCAAACCGGATCATTTCTAACAAAAGCCCTTCTTGGCGCGGGTTAAATCCCGCATCTCCGAAGGCCCACGGCAGTTGAACGTTGCGTAGACTAATGGGTTCACCCTATGTTGCAGTTTTGACTGATCTAGCACTTGTAGTTAGTGCTGAATTTTGAGCTCGTGTACAGAGCCGAAATTTACACCGTTGGGCTCAGGTTGGCTCCCTGCCGTTGTGATGCGCACTCACACTCGGACATCCAACATCGAACTCCTTTCGCCATTCAAAATTTCCCTCCGGGTTCCTGAAACCCTTGGGCAAGCGATCCGATACTCCAGCGGTGTATTCTAGGTATATACTCACAAATCTGGCTATCGATTGACCGACGAAACTTGAACACTACTTACTATTACCTAGAATATCCCTCATTCGCCCTTCCTTGGCCCCGTCTCCTGACGGCATCACTTAAGCAATCACTACACGCCCACGCGCCGAGAATTGCGCATTTCCAAAATCGCGGTTCAATCTTTCTTCTTCTTTAGGTCAGCTCGAAAGGTGTATGCGACAATCAGGGTGAAATAATAAATTAGAATAAATAAGAGATAAGGATTAGAAGTCTAGAAGGCGCGCGCACTACCAGGACTGCAGGAGCGCGTCGGTGCTCGGGCGCGGATCTCATCCCATTCGAAAGCTCCCCACGACGAATCTACCAGTTATCGAACTTCCACGTAACGCTCGTACGCCCAAGCGCAGTATCAGCGAGGGCCGCAAACGCGGCGGGAGTAAGGTCAATATCGTCCACCGCGCACGCGGTGCAGCGGTCGACGATCTGCACCTGGATGCTGTTGTTCCCGTGCGTGACGGTCGCGGTGAGCGGGACGTGGCACTGCACCGTCGGGCTGGTGCTGCCGACGCAGTTGATGAGGCCGTCGCCGCCGATCACGGCGTATCCGGGGATGGTCGAGGCGACGGCGGTGAATAGGGCACCGTTGTTGTTGATGGCTTCGCGCCCGGGGACGAAGGGCCCGCAGATGGGGTTACTAGAGCGAAAGGAAAGGGGTGAGATTTTATTAGTACGACGGGATGAGGGGGAAAGGAACGAGGCTCGTACCGGTTTTTGTTGTTCGGCGTGGCGCCTGGCCAGCTGAAAAAATGTTGTCAGGATACGGATCGTTTGAGAGTTGAGACAGGTCCTTACTTGTCGTACATGAGCTCCGAGACGGCAGCGGTGAATGAGTTGTCGTCGTAGTAATCACCACAACCCCCGAGACCTTGATCGCTAAGTAAAAGGTGATCCGTGAGTTCATCTGCGACGGGCATGAAGAGACGGAGAACAAAGTGGAGACTCTGATGCCACGGAAAGTGCGAAAAGATTGGAAGCACCCAACGGGTGCGCCCGCGTGAGATACTTGTGCGAAAAAAGCGGCAGCAAGGGAACTCACTAGTAGGTCATGTCTTCTGTGTGAGACTCGGTGAAGAATGCGTTGCCTGAGTTGTCGATTGCCTTGGAGAGCTCCTCGAGGTAAGGATCACTAGCGCTAGCCACAGTGGAGGTCGGCGTAGCGGCCGCCTGAGTCGCAGTAGGCCAGTCGGAGGGCTTGGTAGCGGTGAAGTCGCGAGCGGCAACTTTGCCTTTAGGGTCCCTCGTCGTCGAAGGGGTGGTGGCCACCTTGACATACGGGGTGGCCTCGGCGAAGACGGCGAGGACGAGAAGGAGAGCAGAGGTGGCGGGGAGTTGGAAAAACATGGTAAAGACAACGCAGCAAGAAATTGAAGAGTGGGAAAGCGACGGTGGGGACTGCGTCCAGAGAAAAAGGCGGTAGGAGGGAAGCAAAGCTATCGCACTTATAACGACAACAGGTTCAGGAACGGGTCGGCCGCTACGTCGCATAGTAGTCGCATGGTTTTCTGCCAGCAGCACAAGTCGCAACTATCGCCCGTTGAGGGCCATGTGGACCGCCCTGACGTCGACCGAAAAAACATGCGCTCGCAGCGCGTCTCGTACGCTGTCTCCCCGCGAGCATGCCATCGTCGAGCGCTCCGCTGCCTTCCCATGAGCCAGTCCACAGCGTGCTCACAATGCTGTGACCCTAGCGTTGCTGGCCACGGTCCATGTCCATATTTGTCGCCGAGATACCATGAAAGACAAGCGCAAGACAGAAAATCGCAAATCGCCGACAAGCGGATCACTGATGCCGACACTGTTACTTGTTCAAGTTGCTCTCCACCCTCATCTCCGTCGAATGACTCGAATCTAGAGCCACCATCGATGCCTGGTCTGTCGCTTGCGGCTTCCATAGACTAATAGACGCCATATGTTCTCGACCCTAACTGTGCCGTCCACGGGGACAACTTGGGGACAACCAAACGATAACACGACAACTTTTCTTGATACTACCCACTCTGAATCGCCTCAGTCGAAATAGCACCCTCGTCCCGTATATTCGAACCTGTGTTTGCGAAACTAAATCTTCAGTGGACCCACCTGGTCAACCCCAGCTGGCGAGGTCCTCTCACGACTCACCATTCCGGGGAAGATATTCATTGATCCAAGGCAGCTGCAGTGCCCGTCCGTAACCGATCTTACCGTAGTATTTCGATCAAATCGAACCATAGTGTGACGCGTGACTTCTTCAACCAATTCGACCTTTCCATAGCCGGCTGAAAGGTGCGTGACAGCGACAAAAATTTCGATAATCAGGCGGAACGATGCCCTTTCATTGGGACTTAATGCTAGCGTAGTCGCCACACATACAGCTATGTGCTGACCTGCCTTCAACAATTTTTATTCCCACACCTTTCTTGACGCGATTTGACCAAGATTTCACGCCAGAAGTTGGGGTGGAACGGTCATTTCGTGGTCCTACATGGAAATCGTATAGATTCTGACTTAGCACTGACTGCAAGGCCTCGTGAATATATTTTCCGAATTTATCTACATTTTAAGACCATTTTCCGAACCTCTGGACCAATTCGATACTGGCCCGGGTGACGCGTGACATCGACCAAAATTCGATATCGATAGGGGGGTGCGTGACGCGTGACTATCGATTTGAACGAAATACTACGGTATTCTCGACTAAATCCGCCGGGACGAGTAAGCAGTTTACATGAACGCATTTTCGTTCGCTGGAATTGCTGTCGATGCACTACGTTCGTCCGAATCTGATATTGCCAGCACGAACAACATCGGCAGTTCCAGTCTTCCACTCCTTAAAAGGTAATGGATTCTCGTCGTTCATCCTCGATTGGATAAACTCTATGTCATCTGGGCCAGCACAACGAACAAGATATTGCGCCGAGTAACTTACGAGTTTGCTGACAGTGGATTCTCACTTGACAAATAGTCCAACCTCGGATAACCTTAAAACGGGACCGCGTCAAGCTAATTTATTATCCTGGGTCTATCCTCACTCCAGGTCTCTCCGACC